AAACAAAATCTTGCTTTGTATTTACAGATAAGTTTTAATGGAATATTTCATGGTCTAACACAAATATCAGACCCAATGACACTAATTCTTGTACAGCCTTTGGCTTACCCTGTATAACAAAATCTGTTATTTAAAGTAGACTATAAAATACCTTATGGTAAGTGAACTTCCAAAGACACAAAGAAAATCCTCCATAAATTTAAAAGCTTATCTCAAATTCTAATTAGCATAAACTTAGGATGAATATATTATTGATTGTATTATCTTAGGTAGTTGGATTATATAATACTAGTTAGAGTGTGAAAATTATAAAAGAAATAGGTGTAGGTATTTTTGATTCCGTTCATAGTCAACATTAGTAAACAGACATAAGTGAATGTAAAATTACAGAGTTTTGAAATTTTGGCAATCTCAAGCAAAATTCCCTAAGTCAGCAACATTTTTTAACCCTTAGCATATTACAAGGTTCATATATTCCAAGGAGTAAGTACTAAATGTACAAATAAGATAACATTTATTTTACTACTGCTTAATTTTTAAGACTTCCACTTAGAAACTTAAAAGAAAAACGGGCATCATTGAGGATATCTAAAATAAATGAATGATGTATGCAGTTTGAACTAGAAATAGAAAATAATGTGTTTGGTATAAAGGAAGATGTCTTGTAAATCTTTAATAACTTGTCAGTGGGAAAAAAGAAAGTTCCATCTTTCAATGTCTGTTTTCAACTCTAATAAAATAAACTAAATGAATAGACAATTCAGTAATGTCCAACAGATAACTAAAATTCAAATTTTATTTTTCCATATATATTGGGCATTATTTTTCCTGACAAGGCTTTACTGATAGATGAATTGCAAATGGAAACCCTGTAAGAATGTTTATAAGGGTTGTACATGACATATTTTAAGTGCCACTAAGTACACATTGAATACTTTGTGAGTATATAGGCATATCAACATGCAAGTGTCATGTACGTAATATTACAATATGCATTTTGTTTTTTGAAAATGTTAATGATAACAGTAGATTCAATAACTGTGCAATATGCTTGATTTTTATGGATCTTCTTTACAGCACATAATTTTTATGCTGCCATAAATATACCCTTCCAAAAGTTATGAATTTCATATCATATAAATAGAACATTTTCTTTTCGAAGCCACATCACTGGGAACACCTGCATTTATTGAATACAATTTTTAGAGATAAGTCTTTAAATTATTTTTAACATGGCAGACTTGTTTCAATGTTGGTTGTATTGAAATATTTATGATAAAAATGGAGCTTTCTTGAGGGAATATTTTTTGGTTGAATGAAAAGCAAAATAACCAATTCACAAATATTGATGTGAACTGAATATGAAGAAAATGGGTTAGTAATCCCAAACTCATACATCCTTGGGTTACTACTTAACCGCATCATTGAATCTACAATAGGTACAACAGTTACAGTTGAAAATTTGTAAGGAGCTAAAATTTTATACATTTAAAAGGAGGAAGAGTACTAGTTTTGAAAAATGTCTAAATTATGTTTCTACTTATGAGAGACCTTCAATACATTAGAAACACAGAGAAAAGCAAAAAGGATATAGAGATAATTCAGTTTACATTTCATAGTTTTTTTCTAACCAACTGGTAAACACTGCTTTCAATTATCAAATATTTTATTGCATATAACTTTCGCTATCAGCAAATATAAAGAGAAAAGTGACTACTAGTATCATGTACAAAGAAAAGCATCTGAAGAAAGAAAACATCTGAGGTTGACAGTACTGTGTGTAAGAGAAGTGTACTCTGGCGTTCATACCGCACTTGAAAGTCCGCGTAGGAATCACTGCTGTTCTGACCCTGGATGTAGGAAAAGTGCTTAAGTGCTGAGCCCTGGTAGGTTTTTCTTTTGCCCCTGCAATCTTCAAATATCTTTTAACTTGTCTTCTTTTGAAATATACAGCATATTTCATAGAGGGGAAATAGTGGGTTTGTTTTTTTTTTGTTTTTTTTTTACATCTTTTTCACATTTGGGCCCATTCTCTCCCAAATAACCATACATTTCTTGTAACTAGCATATACCTATATTAGTATATGTATATATATGCATATATGAACATATATACATATATATACACATATATGGAAGAGATTATAAAGATAGGATCAAATAGTATTTATAACAAAACCACATAACATAGAAACATCTTAGACTTCAAGCATATATTACAGATTCAAGGTCATAATTTGATTTTTATTATTGTATCCCTTTTTTTCTGGAGGAAGATCTGCTTTTAAAATGTCATTTTATTTTAGAATAATTAAATTGCATAATTTGAAAATTTCATATGTCTGTGCACACAAAATAAAATGGACACTTGTGGCAATACTTTGCATTCATTATTTAGAGGTTATTTGTTAATATGGAGGCAGTCTTAAATGCTTAAATTTTTGTCTTACATAGATAACACTGCTTGGAAAAATAAATTATATTTGTAAAGTTTTACTTAAAAGCACAGTATTATTTACTAAGAAATTGCATTTTAAATATTAAATAAATAGATTGAACTACAAAGTGTTGCCATTTAAATTATTTTTTTTAAAAATCAACACAATGATATTACATTGAAATATTAAATAGGCATGAGGAGATCTGTCCTTTTATAGTTGCAATATTTTGCCTTCAGGAAAAGTTAATAATAGAAAAGGAAAACAAATGCAGATCTATACAACCTTGAATACGCTAAAACAAGTTGGCTTCTGAGAATTCCCAGAGTGTTGGGCGCAGACTGTTATGATAGCCCCCAAACCATGCTTCCTGGGATATCTTGTAAATCATGATTTCTTCTATTTATATTGAAGTGTCATAGCCCATGTTAAAAGAGAGAGGTAGCAGGGTTATCATAGGTATACATCGCAGAGAACTTACCAGCTATATTCAATAATGATTGCATTCAACATTGATAATGCTGAGTTTAGAACCCATTCGTATATTTTGTTCCCCTTAGATCAGTTTATAATCTTTTTACTTTCAATCCATTGCCTTTGGAAGGATATAAGTGCAAAGGGCATGTTTGGGGTAGAATAGGGAGAGAAAGGGAAAAAAATAAATTGAAAAACAAAGATTAAAAAAATTCCAATGAAATGTAGTGACTTTACCTATTAAAGGTAACCTGTGTATTTGATTAAGTAAATTTGTACTTATAATAAGAGTGTCACAATTCATTAAAACATACACACATTTCAAAGAAAGTTTAAGAATTCTAAATTGAATTAGATGTAAATCAAATTTTTTCTCTCTCCAATAAGGCTGAAAACTAGGCCAAATCATTCTATTGTGTCACATTAATGATTAAGAAAGAAAAATTTAATGTTCCATTGAGGCAGTTGTATTTTAAATTAATGATTCGGTATGTGGGAGGTGAAGATTAGCAACCTTTTGGGCCTCCTGGAAAATTCTTAAAGTCCCTCTGCATTAAGTATCCAGCAATAGAATTGCAGATATTGCACTGAGTATATTTTCGATATTGCCAGTGTATATTTCAAAAGAAATTCTATTATCTACACTAAGATTTCCTCTTTCCCAATATTCAAAATGCATATTATAATTACATGGGTTTCAAACATCCATACACAGCAAGTACAAGATACTTACATGTACGTACACTGTAGTTACCTATATTTTGCATAGTTTTTAGTGTGTACTTTGTGCCACTTAAAAAAAGCATTACTCAGTAATTGTTATTAGGTGTTTCATTTATTTCAGCTGTCATTGCCAGATTTTTGTTAATTTGTTTTTTTTGTATATTTATCACAGGTTACACTTGCAAAGGGGGGTAATATGGGCATTTATAGAGGGCTCTGAGTAATTAGTAATATGACCAGGAAGTTGCAGTAAGATATGGAGTTTTCATTTTCTCCACAGTTAAAAACCTAATGTGAAATTTCATATTTATCATTCTTTAAATTACCCTTCAAGTCCAAAGAAAAAGGAAAAGTGTTTTAAATGTTCCCCTTGGTAACACTTTGCAATAAGTGGCACTATATTACACGATAACTGCTATATTACATGGAAGAACCGTCAGTGTCACAGCTGCTGTACATGTGCCTATATGGAATCTCAATGCTATCACAATCATGAGTAAGTAACTACACGTGAACTTGTCCTTTAATGGAGATATTTATATATTTTTACAAAAAATAAAAATAAATGAAGTGTTAGCTTCTTTGCCATATTTAGGAAAGTTAGTTTTCTTTCTCTATTTTTTATTTTAATTGTGGGGTTTCAATGAAAGATTAAGCTTCTTGAATCAATATAAGATCATCCAGTTTCTAGTTTAAATGCCAATGTCAGGTTCCTTAAACTGCTTCTTGAATTCTCTGGTAAAAGAAAACAAGTTGAAATCAATCAATCATCAATCGGTCAATCAATGTCTCTCTCCTCTCACACACACCCACACTCTCAATACTCTGCTCATGCTCTCTGTCTTTGCTCTTGGACTCACAAACTTTTCTTTTTCTTCCTAATTTTGATAATTGTTCTATCTAGGACACTCAAAAATGGGAAAAAGAAAAAAATACCGCTTACAATTTTTGATGAAGGACAATCATTTTACATTGTAAACAGTACACTGGCAGAGAATAGCTACTTTTGGTAAAAAATAATGTTCCATATCCTACTAGGGGTGTGTGTGTGTGTGTGTGTGTGTGTGTGTGTGTGTGTGTGTGTCTATGTGTGCACACTCTCACTGAGTTCCGTAGCTACTATGCTCACTAAGCAGACAAAATTTGGCTCTCTGTGGGTATGAGTGTGCATGTTTCAGATGATGCAATTAACATGGTTCCATTTAAAAATGGTATTTCATTTTATTTTGAATTTTATAGAAATAAGCAGCATTTATATTTTATTTTTTTTGTTTGGTGGAAATAAAATAATTTTTAAAATTGGGAAAATATAATTCCATTGCTATTTTTTTTCAGTAACTAAAAACAATACCTAATCCAAATCTATCTATTGAACTGGCAAAATATTTGATTAGAACCCACAAATCATAATATACCAGTTAGTTAGTTTCTTTTTAAGACTTCTAATGATTTTTTATATTACTCCAAAGGGTTAAATAATCAACAATCCTGAAATGTAACCAATTTTGGATCCCTAATTTTACAGTGTTATAAATAATGATTGAGTTATTTAGGAAACAATTTAGCAGTTGGAGCAAAGTAGAATATAGATGAAATGAAGAGAGATGTAAATACCTCAGTGAAGAGTAGCAATTTTGTAAGTGCATCCTGAAATTAGGCTTTAAATAGTAATTGATGATGCAGTTTATACAACTTCTGTAATAAGAACCTTTCCATTTTTACTAATAGGATGAATTTTGCTTTGTGGAGTCTTTCTAAAGATTATGCATTGAAAGATATGAACAGTTTATAAACCTATTCTAGTTTCAATGTGTCTAGTAGCACCTACCTGATTCTCTCAAACTACCATACTATATTAACATATTATTGCATTTTTCCACAGATGGTATGAATTGAACTGTAAAAACAAGCATGCAATCACATCAATGCAGACTTATTTCCTTAAAATGTCATACTGTATATGATTTATTATGTTAACACTCAACCACATCATATTATTTATGTTCTGTATATTCTGAAAAAGTGCTGCTTGACATCATCCTTTTTCTTTTGTAAGAAATCAACAAGATAAATGCTTCAACAATAAAAAAACAATTTAAAATTCTAACATCTTTAAAGGATTTAAACTTTTCTGATAAATAATCTAAGATACAGCACCCTTGTCTTTCATTTGATATTAACACTTGATGTCGTACTTGAACATTCTCATTTCCCCCAAATGAATTCCAAGATATTTTTAAAACCATAGGCCATCATGCTTTGACATCACAAGTATAGCTTCCATATTGTCATATTTGTTTTCTTCTTAAAGGTGCAATGCTTGTGAATGGGAAAATAATTTTTACCTAACTGGATTTTTAATCTTTAGCATATAACAAATGTCATGAGAACTAATCTAACAATATTGTTATTTACTTGAAGAAATAATATGACTTTAGATGAACTCTGTGTCATATTTAAGAATACAGCATTTCTTAATGGTTAAATACACCAAAATTTCAGAAATAATCCAGAGAAAGAGACTTTCACCTTCGAGGTAAAAGAATGGCAGAAATTCTCTATCACTCATTGTTTCATAAGTTTGTACCTCACAAAATGCATAGACAGGAATTTAATATAAAGAATTAGTTCATTTATACAGAAAACATATCTTAAACACTTCTTTTTGGCAAACCAACATAGGCAAGCAGCTCTGGAACTGCCAAATTAAAATTTGTAAAATTTTAGCAAACTAAGAGTTTATTTTTAGGTTATTCTATTGTGGTTGTAATTTAAAACCTGAGGCTGTGCACTGGTTGTTAGCTTAAAATTACCTTTCCTTATAACATTGTGCTTCCATTGTATAACAAATAAAAATTAACAAGAACTAGAAAAATTGGTTGTTGAACAGTGCTAGGACATACAGACAAAATACTAATACGTGTTATCTACTTGTAATATTGGTTTAAGTAATATCTAAAGGGATATAATGGACATTAGAAAATGCTTACTTATGATTGAATTACCTACAGCCAAAAAGTTAAATATGTATCAAATAATGTTTAATTGGATTTATTATATGCACTATATACAGATACTAAAATGTTTCAAAATTGTGCCCTATGGATATTTCAATTTTGTTTAGGAAGGTGAGTCCTTGTGAAGCAAATAAATTACAGAATCAAATCAGAGCAATGAATGAAATCTTTGTGATTCCCAAAGCAGTAAAATGTTTGTAGCAATTTATTGGTAAACAGCTAAAATAACCTAATGGTGGGAGCTATATAATTATATAAGATACCATGACATGATTACGATTCATACACATGGCTCCTGTATCAAATGCTATATTTTTAAATAGCAAATTGATACAGCTTTACCAGTATATCACAAACAGTCCCGAGCTACACTACAGTGTTTTCCGTTTGTGGTTTCCTAGGGCATATGTTTCTAAGCATGTCCTTGAAGAGAGACATGTAGAAAATATTATCTGTAAACCTCTAGTGTCTCATTAAACTTAAGCACATTAGCTCTTCATCTAATCCTGTTTCTTGTGAAAGCTGTCCAATGGCAAACTGACTAAGTCCATGATGTAAAGAGGGTGAAAAATGAGGGGTTAAAACAAAAAACAAAAATCTCTGCATACATTTTTCAATGTATAAAAACAACTCAATATCATGACCCAAGGAGATGATTAACATTGTTAAGGCTGTATATTCAAGCACTGTATGTTAAAAGAGCAATGGTGTGGAATTTAGGCAGTAAGAAATGTCCTGCATTATGGATGGTACAGTAATTAAAGAAGGATGCTTTCGACAGCTGATTGCTGGTATGCACTGGCTACGGATAGCAGTACGGTATGGAAGTTAATAAAGGTAGCGAAGATGGTAGAAATGAATTCTGAAAGATGATAGCCAGTTTTCTCCAGCAGCCAGCCTGGTAAGTAAAACTCAGAATCTTGGCCTGCATTTTAAATGAAATACTCTTTTTTCTCTTCAGCATTGACTTGGCTGCCTTCAGCGTTGATAATGGCTGTGTCAGCATCTGGTGCATCTTCAGCTCCTTTAGCTTCATTTGTTAAATATGTTCCTGCGGGTATTGGAAGAAAAATGTGTTAGTTCTGTGAGAATGGTAAATAGCCAGCATTAAAGCAGCATTGATTTAGGAAGGAACTTATGCCAGATATCTTACATGTTAGAAAATATTCTGAGGTGTAATAAACCACACAATTTACCCTTGTAAAGTTGCACACATTCTTTCCGCTTTTAGTTAAATGTTGTAGAGGAAGCTGTGGCCAGGTTAACTAGAGATAACAGCCAAGCTGGAGTGGGTAATGAATACTTTGATTTCTTTAATGATGGATACAGACCATGTGATCCATGCAGCTGTAGCAATCAGGGTCCTTTGTTAAGCAGTTGATAATGATCACATCAAATGTGTCACCATTTCTTTTGGTAACTCCATTTAAAAGTAGATTATATCAAGAGTTTGCTACCTAGCCCATTACAAAAACAACAACAACACGTATTATTCTCGCTAATATGGCCACACGTGTGTCCATAAACCTAAAAACAATAACCAAAAGCTTAATGTTATAGTTGAATTTTTGTTCTAGAAATAAATTATAAACTTGCTTCTGTTTTTGTTTTTCCAACTATGACTTACTCTGTGATCTTTGGCTATTGGTTAAACATTATTTTGCTAAGCCAATTTAACTTTATTTAGTTTGTAAACATGTTTCTATTATTGATTTTAGAGAGAGAAGAGAGAGGGAAAGAAAGAAAAAAAGCATAGATGTGAGAAGGCAACATTGATCAGCTGCCTCCTGAATGCACCCTACTGGGATCAAGCCCACAGCCAGGCATACCCTGATGGGGAATCAAACAAGTGACCTTTCCGTGCATGGGATAGTGCTCGATGAACTGAGCCACACTGGCCAGGGCTAAGCCAACTTAACTTCAAAGTTGAGTAAAATAATTAAGAATTCCCTGAAATAATTTAATTTAGTATTTAGATCTCTCTCTCTCTCTCTCTCTCTCTCTCTCTCTCTCACACACACACATGTGCATTCATATAATATCTCATTGTAAAGCAAGTCTTTAGAATGTTTGTGTCAGAGTTAAGAACACTATTAAATACAACCCACCTTTATGTCTTGCCAGATATCGACCAAGCAGAAATATAGAACACAGCGTGACAAATACAACTACAGCCACTATTCCTCCTATAAGAGCATGATCAGGACCAGTCTGGCCAGCCAGAGCATTGGGATCTAGGAAAGAGAAGAAAATATTGCTTAAGATAGTGTTATTAGTCATAGAGTGCATATCTGCATTAGAATGAGTTATTAAAAATTATCACATTTCTATTAAAATAAAGCTTTATTAATGTGTAGTACACCAATCCGCTAGTCAACAAATATGTATAGTGTATCTATAATATTTATTGTGTACCTATAACGTACAACATACCTGGGGATACAACATTTCTCCCATATATCACAGTTGCTTTTGAGTTTTCATTTTAAATAGAAACTGGATAAACAAATACTAATATGATTTTGTATAGTTTTATGCCTTTTGATCCTCCTCTTCTCCTTCTAAAAATGTCTATGTGTCTATTTTTTTGGTGAGATAAACACAATTATAATATTTTAAAAATGAAATTACGTCATGGGAAAGGATGGAGCTGGAGATGATAACTTGGGATTTATCATTATATAAATGTTATTTAAAGCTATGAAAATTGATAAACTTATTAGAAGAGCGAGTCTAGATAAAAGAAAAGGTCTAAAAATTGAGCCCTGAAAAACCCCCATATTTAAAAGCTAGAAAGAGGAAGTGCTTCTAGCAGAGCAGACTGAGGGGAGAGAACAGGGCAGTAGGAAGGATCCTGGAGAGTATGCTATAGAGGAGCGTGGTCAGATTGTGTTTAGTATTATTGATAGAAGGAGGAGAATGAACACTCAGCAGGGAGGATTTAGTGCTTGTTGGGCTTGTAGCTGTAGAAGAAGTGAGTGGAAAGATACAGATTAACGATATGCTTTTATATTCTGCCTTTAGTAAGATATTACAGGAAAGAGATGAGCGCAGGAAACTGTCCAGTTTTCAAGCAGAGATCTAAAAGATCAAAGGAAAGCCCAATCGTTGGGATATTGAAAGTTTGAGAAATCTACTGTTTATAAAAGTCACATAATAAGGAATAAAACTAAATGAAACTTTGATCAACAAAATCTGCCAGCACCTATAGCAAGGATCAGTTTGAAAGCACAGCCTACACTTCCAAGCCCATTGTTGCAGATAGCATCATAGTAGCTGCTTATAGTCTAAAGAGGGATTTAGAGGAGGAAAAAATAAAAAAAATAAATTAGGCTTGGAAATTATACCTTTAAATCTCAGAGGGAAGGTGGGGATGGGAGGTTGGAGGGGGGAGAAATTAACCATGTAACTTATATGCATATATGCATAACCCATGGACACAGAAAATAGTGTGGTGAAGGCCTGTGGGGAGGCAGGAGCAGGATAAAGGGGGTCAATGGGGAAACAGAAGGGGACATCTGTAATACTTTCAACAATGAAGATAATTTTTTAAAAGGTATTACCAATGGGCAACCATTGTTCTGTTGTTTTTTTCTACCATAGAAATATAATCATAGATTTAATAAAAGATCGAGTGTGGTTATAGGCACACAAATATGACACATTGATTAGAAGTCTACGGTGATTTAAATAGAACTACTGTGCCCCAAAAACATATGTCTAGATAGATAAAAAAAAGTCTGACTATTTGAAACTTCAATCCTTGGACCCCCAAACTTAAAGAAAGCAAAAGGTAAACTAGGGGAGGGTGGGGGCAAGGGGGAGAGATCAACCAAAGGACTTGTATGCATGCATATAAGCCTAACCAATGGACACAGACAACAGGGGGGTGCGGGCATAAGTGGAGGGGTCGGGGGGATTATGGGGGGATAAGGATACATATGTAATACCTTAATCAATAAAGAAATTTAAAAAAAATAAAAGCTATATAAACTCCATAGAGGACATATTCTGAAACACTCACTTCAGATGTGGTCAAGGAGGATGACTGATCAGGTTGAATGTTCCATAGGATAGATTTGTGGGAAGTAAAAAAGAAGGAACAGAAGAGATTCCAGTTTCTCCAAGGAACTGTTTTTGCCAGGGCAGAGGGATCTTTTAATACCAGTCTGGCATGTTTCCATAATTGCCATGGATCAGTAACTACTCAGTGCTTACCACTCTTCCTTTATTTCTAAATGGGAACATTTATATTAAGAAGTGCTTCAAAGAACTTATATGCATATACGCATCGCCCATGGGTGGTGAAAGCCTGGGGTGGGCTGGGACTGGGTGGAGGAGGGCAGTGGGAGGGAAAGGAGGGACATCTGTAATACTCTCAACTACAAAGATTTTTAAAAAGCACTTCCCACTTCTCCTGGGTCAGTTCTATCACTGTGCGTTGTATATGGGTGGAGGGGAGCATTAGTTTTTTGGCTCATTTGTTCCTTAACTAATGCACACAGATATGATGAAGAGGATTGAGCATAACAATGATCTTTATCTCTGAGTTAGATATATTGGCTTTACAGGTCTTTAGCTCGTCTCTTTGGATAGGGTATGGCAGTGGTTTGTGTGAGGGAAACAACATGAACAAATATTTGGCAAATCAGAAGGATATATTGGGGCAGAGATTTCTAGCTCATAACAAACTTGTTTCCTATTCTTTCAGTTCACAGAGCTAAATGTTTTCAATCTCACTTGCAGTTGAATGTAACCATGCGATTTGTGTTCTAGGCAATTGAATGAAGGCCCAGACATGTAACCCTGCTGAGCAAACTCCGGAGATACAGGCTGAGAAAGACAAGTATCACATGGTCTCACTTATATGTGGAATCTAATGAGCAAAATAAACAAATGCACAAAATAGTTCCAGAGGTATAAAAGCATGGAACAGAATGACCTATTTCAGAGGGAAGGAGGGGGTGGGGGCGTGGGGAGTGATTAGGGAACTTATGCATATATGGACACAGACAATAGAGAGGTGAAGGCCTGGGAAGGGCAGGTTCTGAGTGGAGCAGGTCAATGGGAAAACAAACAAACAAAGAAACAAACAAACAGGACATCTGTAACACTTTCAATAAGAAAGAAGAAAAAAAAAAGAAATGAGAGAGCCACAAGAATAAGTGAGGTAATGGGTCACTAAATCTCCACCTGGAAGAAAATTACCCAACTAAGAATACATGAATTGAAATGCTTAAAAAAGGGGGGGGGGGTATTTTAAAAACAATGAGCATTAACTAGTTAATCTGTTATAGGAGCTATTGCTAATTTAGCTTTCTATATATTATTGAATTTTCCTTAATTTCTGGCATTGGCTGTAAATCTAAAAACAAAATAAAACAGGTGAAGGGAGCAAAACATAAACCTGCCTTGCCTCTAAATTATCTGTTTGTATTCCTTGCTTAGATACTTCAGAATGACTTTCAAAATCCACCTCTTGCTCAGGTCCCAAAATGCAGATAGTCAAAATTCATGTCCATTTTATTTACTGAATATATCTCAGAACTGAGCATTCTTTTGGGAAACTGAGAAATCAGATTAGTTTATTTGCTTTGGGCTCATGATTTTTTTCTACTTTACTCTTGATGAATAATTATTCTTTCTATTTTCTTCCTTGGAAATCAAATTGTGCACTGGTAGAAACACCATATTTTATATTGTGTATATGTCATTCCCTCCATCCTATTTTAAAATAATTTCACTAATTTACATTTTGATTTAATTATATTTTCCATGTTTACCCTCTTCTTAGTTGATTTCATTTTCTGCCATTTCTTATTCCTTTGAAAGGTCTTTATCAATTGTGATTTGGTTTAATTCCACTCTCTGTTTAACCCATTCTGTATTTAGTAGATGTTTTAAAAGAATTTTATAATATTGACAATAAAAAGTTCTATTTTCTTCATTTAAGTATAATAATTATTTTTAGACATCTTGGAAAATGTTTTTACTTTGTGTGCATACATTATTTCTCTTCTTTTATTGAAACCATTTTTTCATTGGGTGCAACATTTTTAAAATAAATCCTTTTATTTTCTTATATTCATTCATATTGTTGAGATGTTTTGCAGAAGGATTCTCTGATTTGATGCTGGTGCTTATTTCTGTCAGCTGTAAAGTTGCAGATCAATCCACCAGCAGAAACTATCTTTGGATCATATGACATCAGTACATAGTGATTAGACTGGGGGGTTGTAAATCATTATTGGTGAGAGATTTCATTGATGAATTTCATACACTTTTGCCTATGATCTTCACTTGCACGGTAGTTGCAGATTACTTAGGTCATTGCCTTCGTTTTTGTACATTAAGACAATTTGACCTGTTACAATGGGTTTTAGATAAATTCACTTGATTTTTAATAGATATAATTACAGATATATTATTTTTATACATTTATTATAACCTTTAGAGAAAATAATATATGAGCACATATTATTTTACCTTATTCATAATGTTCTACACATACTCTTACAATAAATGAAAATACTTTAAACTTTAGTCTTCATTTGATTAACAAAATAAGTCCACATTTTGTCCCAGGATTTTTAAGATTTCAAAAATAAAATAAATGTAGAGAATGCTACTTTGTATGTTTACTTACAAATGTATTTCTAAAAAATACTGACCTTGTGGGTTATGCTTTTTACCACCCCCCCCCACATAACTGTTAGAACTCAGTCTATCCTTAATTTCTATTCCTTTTTGTTTTCTTTAATTTTTATTGTTTAAAGTGTTACATATGTCTCTTTTTCCCCCCATTGACCTCTCCCTGGCCACCTCCAACCCCCAGCACATGCCCTCACCCGCCTACTGTTTGTGTCCATTGGTTATACTTATATGCATGCATACAAGTCCTTTGGTTGATCTCTTACCTCTCTCCCCAACCCTCCCCTGCCTTCCCTCTGAGGTTTGATGGTCTGATCGATGCTTCTATGTCTCTAGATCTATTTTTGTTCATCAGTTTATGTTGTGCATTATATTCCACAAATGAGTGAGATCATGTGATACTTATCCTTCTCTGACTGGCTTATTTTGTTTAGCATAATGTTCTCCAGGTTCATCCATGCTGTTGCAAATTATAAGAGTTCTTTGGTTTTTACAGCAGCCTAGTATTCCATTGTGTAGATGTACAACAGTTTTCTAATCCACTCCTCTGCTGATAAGCACTTAGGCTGTTTCCAAATTTTAG